GGACAAAGGGAAAGGATAATGTGTGGTACTTTGGCTGCATATATGAGGATTTATTTGGTGGTTAAAGGGTTAAGAAAGTACCATGTTTCTCCTCGAATTTTATGGTTGTTTAGTGGGTTGTACTAGGGAACATAGTAGGGACCATGTTGGGTGGATGTTGGAAGATGAATGGGGCTGTTTTGGTTTCCTATTGTGACCAGAGATTAAAATAGATAGAAGAGACTTTATTTTGGATATCAAAAGGAAATGAAATATATTTGGATGTTTAGGGTTGGGTTGGACGGAGTGGGGGTTGGCTAGCGGAACCCTTAGGTCAAAACGAAAGTTATTTTGGCCTTTCGGGCTAAAGGACTTTGAATTCTCACTAAAATGGATCATAATGTTTGAACCTAAGTCCTTTGGTTTCCATGAGGGTGTGGGTTATGGGGGAGGGTATGATAGGGTCGGGCCTAGATATATCATCATATCTCTACACATTGGATGAAAAGCAAACTTATCTCTTAAACTACATCTGAAGACTTCTGGTCAAGTACTCCATGACCAAAACAAATAACAAAGGAGAGATAGGATCCCCTTGCCTTAAGCCCTTGGCCCCTTTGAAGTAACCATACTGCCCTCCATTCAAACTGATGGTATATGAGGGTGTAGTGATGCAGAACATTATCCAGTCAATGAAAATCTTAGGGAAATTAAGGTGCAGCAAGATACCTTTTATTGCCTCCTAACTTACAGTATCATAAGCTTTTTGTATGTCAAGTTTCATCATGCACCTAGGAGAGTTGTTCTTCCTTTTATATCCTTTAGCAAGTTCCTGGCACATTAATACATTATGAATGAGCTCTCTCCCTTGTATAAAGGCTCCCTGGTTTAAGCTCACCAAATGTGGTAGTACCTCCTTAAGCCTCGTACAGATGAGTTTAGAAATAATCTTATAGATTGTATTACAACAAGCTATAGGTCTAAAATCTGCTGGACAAGTTGGGTTAGTCTTTTTGGGTATAATACTTAAGCTTGTGGTATTGATCTGGATCAGAGTTTTCCCTTCTTTAAAAAAGTCAAGTACTGCTTTAGTAGTCAAGCTGCCTACCACATTCCACTGGTTCTTGAAGAAGCCACTATTGTATCCATCTGGCCCTGGGCTTTTACTACTGGGAATAGAGAATAAGGCCTCTTTAATCTGCTGAGGGCTGAAAGGTTGAATAAGTTTAAGCTGCTGCTCTGTATTCAAGACATTACCACTTTTAATGATGCTTTCATTCACTCCAGTTGTAGCTGTTTTTGTCCCCAACAGTCTAGTGTAGAATTGTTCAAAAACTTTAGCTATCCTCTCAGTTCCTTCAATCATCTCACCCTTATCTGTGTTGATGCTCAGCAATTGGTTCTGTAGCCTTCTCTTCTTAATCCAAGCAAAGAAAATTTTGGAACCTTTGTCTCCCTCTGTCAGCCACTCCTGTTTACTTTGCTGAAGTTTCATACTGTGGGAGTCCTTTATTACCTGTTGTAATCTCCTGGTAGCTGCTCTTTCATAATTCATTTGACAAAGGATAAATCTGCATCTCCTTCTGGATATCTAATAACTCCTCTCTAACATCATCCACCTTCTGATTTGGCAGTAGGTACACAGGCAGGTTCCTTGGCAGAAACTTTCTTCTGGTTTGCCGTAGGTATATCCAAGTTCACCTCATTGCAATGGTTTGCTGTTTTTGTCCCCAACAGTCTAGTGTAGAAACAATCTTCACGAACAGAAACTTTTTGCAAATTCACCTCTTTGGACTGTAATTCAATATCAGCAGGGTTGCTTTTATCCTTTTGCAATTCAATTTCATTAATCTCCTCATCAACCAAAGGTGATTGAGAGAGTGAATCAGTGGAAGCAATCCCATCATCCTCGCCACCCATTCCAGTTTCTCCATCAAACCCAGACCCAGCAGCAGAAGTTCCCACCATCTCCACAACATCATCATCGATACCATGAAGAAACTCTCTGAGTTCCTTCTTGTTTGGAGGAGTGGGAGGGGTGGGATTTCTACTCCCCTTTTTTCCTTTCTTCGCCATCAAACAAGGTAGGAAAAGGAGAAAACACAGCCAAACTTACCAAATTTCCATGGTGAAGCTCGAGGATTAGGAAGAGGAACAGTAACTGCGAAACCTAGTTCGTCACTGCCAGCCAAAATCTTCGTGAGAGCCTCTAAAAATTGGATGGATAGCCTCGCCTTAGAGTGGAGAAAAAGAATCTGAAGCCAATTTGGGGAAATCCACCGGAGAACGCCAGTAATTGAACGAAACTAGCATCGAAATACTGTTCACATCGATCGCTAGAGAGAGAAGCTCAGTCCTTTATTCAATCAGTATTTTGATCGATTTTTTGGATTCTGAAGTTATTCAATTCAGATTTTAAAAAGTAATTTAAAATCTGTATGTATTCAATTGAGATTTTAAAAAATCTTTTTAAATATGATGGTATTCAAAAATTTGATAGATTTTTAGAGATTTGTTAAAAGGTGGATTTTGATGGAGTTTTAGCATTGGGTATAAATATAAATTCATTCTCAAATCCCATCCAAAAGTGCTAAGATTATAAAAACTCCTTACATACTCCTTCCGTTCTTCGTCGTTCCTCCGACTGTTCATGTACTAACCCATAATGGTTGTTGAAAAGGTTCCAAAACAAAGAGATGGGTTAGTGAAATCTCTACGCACATACATTCCGTCTCCTTGCTTCCAGTTTATCTCTCCACAACATAAACCATGGCTTAGCTTCAATTGGCCGATTTGAATCTCGTGGTCTTCTTCCTCTTCTTATTCCTCCTCCAATCCAATCTGGACGCTCTTTACTTTCTCCATCCTTTTTGAAAGCTCCGGCATCGTGATGGACCGCTGCAAGGGCATGACGAGGGAGAAGCTGGGCAGGGGCGGGGGGAGGGGAGAAAGGGGGTTCCTCTCCATCATATGCGGCGGGAGGGGGGGGCGGCGGCTTGGGAGGCAAAACCGTTGCAGAGCCTTCCGCGTTAATCCAGAGCCTTCGGCGTTGCAGAGCTTTCAGCTTGGGAGGCGACACCATTTCAATTTTAGATCGCATATGTCTCTTCAATCCTTCTATCTCTTTTTTTTTCTTTTTTGGGCTCAACAATTTGGGCTGAGAACAATCCATTAGAATCTTGATAAATCTTTACAATATAATAAATGGAAATCTATTGAAGTCTTATAAAATTAAAACAATCCATAAATCTTACATAATCCATGGATTATAAAAAAGCTAACATAATCTTTTAAAATCTATGTCCAATACACCCCCCTTAGCTTCTTACACTTTTCATGGATATGTAAGTGAATATCCTCCTAAATACAATGCTAGGTGTAATTTGTAAATAGTGTTCGCGCCTAAGATGAGGGCATTGTGGTTCGGGTTTGGGCCTACTTTGTGGAAGGGTTTGGGCCTGCTTGGTGGACGGGTTTCTGCTTTTGTGAACATAAAATCTGCTTTATGTCTATTCAATTTAGTTCTTCCATAAAGTTGCATTGTAGAACCAAAATTTAGTAGCTCCATAAAGTTGATTTGATAAAAAGTTACTTTGTGTCAAATCCATCTATTATAAAGATTTTGAATATCTAAAGCATTTAATGAAGGGTTAAAGAAATCATGGACCGTGTATTATATATACTCGAGCATAATGATGTAAATTTCATTCCTTACAAATTCACTTCTCAAACAGCCTAAAAAAATCATCAAATGTCTCAAACGTCTTCCTTAAGCATGTGGTCTCCCGTTGCCGAGCTTGACAACACTCGGACGAACTTGATGTTCAAGTTAAGGGCCGTGCGTGTGTATTTGTTCCTGTTTGGACCAAAGGCGGAGATTCAATGGAGATCATTTTTCACGATGAACATGTATGATATTCTCAATTTTTAACGCTTAATCGTTATTTATTTATTAATTTTTTCTAATCTAAACTCTTTTTCTTTGTATAGGGCACGAGGATTCACGCGCATCTTAAAAAAACTGGAAAAAAAACGTTTTGAGAATCAAATTGTGGAGAATGGTGTTTATGGAATTCGGGAGGTCTTTGTTCATGACAATTAACAATCCTGCAAAACCACGGCAAATGAAAAACTTTTGGTTTTTTACGCCAAAACACGAGTCAAAACATTGAATGGAAGCGATTTTCCACGTTTCATGTTTGATTTGAAATCTTTTGCGATGATTCAAAACCAACCGTGTTTGAACGATCAAATCTTGATTGGTACTAGATTATTTTTGAAACAAATTATCAAAGTATCATAACATGCAAACATTGTATTAAGATCATCATTCATACCGCAAACTCATCGAGAAAATATTTTTGTTTTTAAAAAAACATTATATATACAAGTATATATCTTTATTGTTTGTGTGTGTGCATATATATATATAAATATATATATATATATATATATATTTATATATATATATAATCGTAAATAAAAACTTATTTCTTAAAAATTAAATATTTATATCAGATCAGAATGAAAATAATAAATTAAAATTTTCATCTAAAAATTGTAAAAATATTTCTAAATATATAAATACATGTATTTATTGTGTGTGTATATGTATGTGGGTGTGCGTGAAAATATTTATACACACACACACACACACACATATATATATAAGTTAATATACATATAAGCAGTAAATATCTATTTGATTATAAATTGAGTAATATGAACTCTACACACTAATTAATACAACCACACTTATTGAGCCACACACCTATCTTCACAATAGGCTTTAGTTCCATGCATTTAATACACTATAGAGGATTGCAACTATATTAGTGTTTCCCTCTAACTTACCTCATTTATTTCTCAACCTCCTAACCAACTACGTCATTGAAGTTGATATTGAGCATTCAAAACTAGCATTAAATTCTTCCTCTCTAAGGTTAGTAATTTACACTTTACTGATTTTAAAATGTTTTTAAGAAATAAATATGTTTTAGTGTGTGGCTCTTGACTTATTATTGTTAAAATTCCTAAAATACTTATGTTTCCAATTAAATTGAAAATGCCAGTGACTGAAAAAATCAGTTTTGGAATATATGTTCAAATCACAGTTTTCAAATATGGACTAAAAACGTACAATTTCGATAATTAAATAAAATTTTTTAATAATCCATGTTATATTTGTAATTTGTGAAGCTCATTTAGTAAGTATATTGTAATCCAAACAGGATACATGTGATAAGTGTCTCCCTTGCAATGAGAAAGCTTACGAAATATGAAAGAATATTTTCAATACATGATTCGGAAGAGAAATTGGACAAAGGTAACTTCTATTGCTTACATAAATTATCAATTAAAGAAAAAATTAACACACACAGATATATATATATATATATATATATATATATATATATATATGTATGTATGTATGTATGTATATATATATATACAGGGCTGGTCCTGAGGATTCATGTGTCTGGGCCGAAACAGAAAAAAGGCCCTAAAAGTCTTATCCTTAATGGTCTAACAAATTCACATATGTAAACTAATTATATTTAAATTATAATTAACGCAAAGGAAAAAATAAATGACAAAAGTATAGTATTATAATTACATACCGTAATTATAAAATCCAAATTTGTAAATTCTACTAAGTGAAATCAAGTATGAAAAAATGAAAAAGCAAGTTTATAAATAAATATATCATAAATTAATATCAATTCATCAATTTTTTTTCGGTTTTCAGTTTTTTATATAAATATATCATAAATAAGAAATTCAAATCAATTCATCCAAATCAAATAAATAACAAATAGAACCATTAAATCATTCTATTTCAAAGAATGAAATTAGAAAAGATTTCAAATTAAAAACTAATAATTAACCCTAGATTTTAAACCTTAAAAATGAACAATGAAAGAAAATTAAGATTTAAGAAATAAAAATTACAAAATTAGAAAGCTACGAATAATTGAATATGGAATACCTGGAGGGTGGAGGCGTGGAGGTCGGCGTCCGGCGGTGGAGGCGGCGTCCGGCGTCCTTTCTTTGGCTATCGGCAGGTCCTCTCTTCGCGACTTCGCCTCTTCTAATCCCTTTCTTCGTTCGGCTTTCTTCATTTTTTTTGTTTTGTCGGGTGAGGGGTGGAGTAGTGGACTGGATTAAGGTGTAGAATAAGTGAAGGGGGGGTGGACTGGGCTTTAAATATAGTGGGCTTCTCATACACACATATATATAATACTTAAAAAAATATTTTGGTGCCCCTAAAATTATTGGGCCCGGCCCGGACGGACACTTTGTCCCCCTAATGGGCCGGCCCTGAATATATATATATATATATATATATATATATATATATATATATATATATATATATATATATATATATATATATATATATATATATATATATAAACATATTTTTTTTCTTTAAAAAATAAACATATTTTGCATTACCTTTTTAAATGACACACCAGCCTTGATGATGTCTGTCTAATTTTAATGTTCTGCCATAATCAAACTTTTAATGTGCAATAGAACCTTTATCATGTTCAAGATTTCTTATCTAACATGGTCAATACGGTTCAATGGCTTTTGTGTAAACATTAATGTATTCTCCCTATTATTGGATTATTATTTTTTAGCATAATCACAGAATATTTAGCGTTATAATTTATGTTAGAATTTAAGACTGTGAAGATGTTGGAGATAAGTTCAGAAAAACAAAAACTCTCTAATAATTCATTCAAATTTTTTGTACAAAAAAATCCTTTTTGTTAGAAATAAAGATTATATGAATATTGTCATGAACAAAACGATAGAACAAAGTGCAATGGAGATATACCTTGATAACACAAATGCAAGGACAAAGTGCAATGGAGAACCAAAGGAGAAGAAATGCAATGAGAGAGTAAAGAGATGGATAGATCATTTCATTATATGGAGCCTATATATATAGGCTTACAAAGGGGAAAATCAAAGGTCTAACTTAGACATGGAGAACATCAAAAGACATTTGTACATAACACTCCCCCTTGGATTTTGGATGTTCACCATTTAGGTAGACTTGAGCTTAA